CCACTGTAATACTTACGTCATTTCAGCAAAAATATTTAATTTCTGTGAATGTAGTATATCAAGCACAGTATGAATATAATATCATTGTAATATAACAGTATTTTAACCGAAAACTATTAAAAAAACGAGTAACATCTCTTGAACATTGGAAGGTTAAGTGAAGTCTTTTGTTTTCGTCATGTATTTTATCCTATTTTACATTGAAATACATCACGTTTCAGCAAAATTACTATTTATTTCCAAGAATATATTCATTCACGCGCAGTTTAGGTAAAATATACGTGTGATGTAACATTTTTTTAATTGAAAACGATTCGAAAAACACGTACCCTCTAGCCCTGTTCAAGGAGAGGACTGGGAGAAGCTGTTTGGTGCTGCAGACGATGGCAAGGAAAATGATTTGGATGGATTTTAATGAAAATATTCAGAAATATGGTATCGTAGTATTTATTCAAGTCAATTAGGATAGAATATTATTGTAATACAACAGTAGTGACGATGTGGAGGAGGCGGAGGGATAGAGCGGGGAGGAGGTGACTGGCGGGAGCAGGGACGAGTGGAGATGCCAGCCAGTACATTACGGGTGTATTAATTGTTTTTATAGCTATTTTTGCATTTTAATGTTAAATACTGTACATTACGTTTCAACAAAACTACCATTTATTTCTGAGAACATGGAAATGTAATATTTTTCCTGAAATGATGTACGTATTACAGTGGAAAGTGACGAAAGCAATGACTTTCGCTTTCTTTCGTTCAAAAGATGTTACCGCAATCGCTTTTCGAATGGTTTTCAGTTGTGGGATTATAAGGCTAATGATAGGATAGAATATTATTGTAATACAGTACGAGTACAACAGTTTTTTAACTGAAAACCATTCGAAAAGCGATTATGGTAAAATATTTTGAACAACGAAAGAAAGCGAAAGTCTTTCGTCATGATTTTATCCCACTTCCCACTATAATATGTACGTCATTCCAGCAAAAATATTACATTTCCATATTTATTTCCGAGAATATATTCATTCAGTCACAGTTAAGGTAAAATATACTTGTGATGTAATATTTTAATGAAAATCCAGTATCATAGTTTTCTCTTGTTTCAAATTTAATTAACAAAGATTGATGTTTCAAATGTAATGAACAAAAATTTATGTCCAGTATCTATAAATTAACTTTAATAAATGAATACTTTGTTTTCATCGTCCTGTGCTACCATACCATGGATTTGGCTACTTTGGGCTCGCAAGAGATCTGCCCTGGCATCTGTACCGACACTCACAGCTGGTGGTGTGTTGGTGCATCGTTTCCATTGTTTACTGGTAGTTACTGGTAAATATTTTTCAACCTAACGAAACTATTACCCGTTTAGAGGTCGACCCCCAATTTTTGCCAAATAATTTAGTCTTAAAAACTCGAACTACACACAGGTATATATGGTAAATAAGGACATGGGGTGCCAGGGATTTTTTTTTGGGGGGGGGGGCAGCAATATTACACGGATTTTTAACATTCACGGGTATCTCTGTTACCTAACCCCCGCGAATGTTAAGGGCCGACTGTACTCATAATAATGTACTAAATCATTACTAAAATTTTTGTCTAGTGCAAACTGTAGCATCATTATATTCAAATTAATCACTATCTTATAAGAATTCCAGCAATGTAAATTATATTCTCCCCGGTCACTTTTGTTACATTTTATAAAAAAAAAAAAAATCTAAAGGAAATAAATAAACAAATAAATACTTCACTAGACCTTCGGCCCCAACTGTTAAACGTGCCACTGTCACCTCCCTCCTTCACCCTCCCCCCATCTTCCCAGCCAGGGTTGGGTGGTTATAGGCTTACAGTTTTTATCTTATATAATATCACAGACTAAACTTAGGAGAATATTATATACATTGCTAGAGTCCTTGCAAGACAGCGGATAATTTGAATATCAGTAGTACCCCGATTTAAGCGGTCACTTGAACACACAGGGTACCGCGGAAAGTGAAAACCGTGTAAAGTGAACAAGAGAACATATGGGATTAATTCCAATAGAGACTGGCCCGACCGCCAAACTCCACTTTTTCCGACACAATACCTATGTTGTAGTAAAAATAACATCTAAATTTTATGATGGTATGCTCACACAATTAATATTTAACAGAAATACAGTCGCCAGGTTAATGTCCATTCAAATAATGGACTCAAATCTCCCCTCCCCCCCTCTTCCCAGCTCACTAGCTCCTACCTCTGTGAGAAATGTTTGGGTGAAAACACTAGATTTTAACGTTTGGTAATAAATAATACCTCAGACTAAAGTTAGGATAATATAATTGACATTTCTGGATTCCTTGCAGGTCAGGGAATATTTTGAATGTAAACTTCATATATTTTGCACAAAAGATAAAATATTCCCTTTGTGTAAACCAAATTATTACATTAGATCTATAATTTGTATGTCTAATGCAAAATCCATGATGTTTATATTCAAAATGATCATCATAGTGTAAGAATTCCAGCAATGTAAATTATATTCTGGCCGAGTAATTTGTATGAATTTTATGAGCTAAAACAAATATCTTCAGGTAATAAAAAAAAATATTCTTCACGACACTATCTGTCAATCAAAGTATCCCAGCTTGCCTCCCCCCCACCTCACACTCACACCAGCTGGGTCGGTCGGTCCCAACCCTCCCCCCCCACCTTCCCTCCCTACCAGAGAAATGTTTGGGTGAAAAAACTAAATTTTAACTTTTTGTAATAAATAATACCTCAGGCTAAAGTTAGGATAATATAATTGACATTTCTGGATTCCTTGCAGGTCAGGGAATATTTTGAATGTAAACTTTATATATTTTGCACAAACGATAAAATATTTGCTTTGTGTAAACCAAATTATTACATTAGATCTAAAATTTGTATGTCTAATGCAAAATCCATGATGTTTATATTCAAAATGATCATCATATTGTAAGAATTCCAACAATGTAAATTATATTCTGGCAGGGTAATTTGTATGAATTTTATGAGCTAAATAAAAAAAATATAAAAAAATAAAATAAAAATTATACTTCACCGCTCATATATGAGTAGATGCACCACGGAAAGTGAAAGTCCGGTTCTGGCAAGGTACCGCGTAAATGAGAAATCGCGGAAAGTGAAACCGTGTAAAGCGGGGTAATACTGTATACGTCATATATTTTGTACGAGATAAAAATTTTAGCCCTTTGTAATAAAAATAATAAAAACTAAAATTTGTATGTCTAATGCGAACTATAGCATGTATATATTCAAACTAATTACTATATTATAAGATTTCCAGCAATGTTAATTATATTCTCCCAGGTCAGTTCAGTGACATTTTATAGGAGAAAAACTTAGTCACTCATAAGGACAGTTAAATAAAAAAGCACTAAACCTTGGCATCATCTGTCAAACATATCACCTCCCCTCCCCTCCCCCCATCTTCCCAGCCAGTAAACAAACCATTTCACATCCCCTAATTTTAGCTGTGCTAATTTATGAGTGTTTCTTTTAACATAATACTACAAAAAACAATATTTTGTTTATTCTAGGAGATGGGCTGAGGTGCATCTGGGTAGACTGTCAGTCTTTTTAGTATTTTGTGTTTCTCTCAAGTACCAAACTAAATTATTCCATTGAAACAACACTCTGATTTAGTGCGAATTCGGTTTAAAGCAACCTCTCTTGGAACGTATCTCGTGTTATATCAACATTCTACTGTACAGTGGAGTCTGCATTTACGCTGTCAATTGAACCCGTGGAGAACCGTGTAAAACGAGAAACGAGTAAATGAAATAACAATATATGGGATTAATTAAAATAGAGACTGGGCCGACCCCCAAACTCCACTTTTTCCGACGATACGTACGTTGTAGTAAAAATAACATTCTAATTTTATGATGGTATGCACACAATATTTAAGAGAAATACAGTCGCCCGGTTAATGTCCATTCAAATAATGGACTCAACTCCTCCTCCCCATTCTTCCCACGCTTGCTGGCTCCTCCCTCTCTGAGAAATGTTTGGGTGAAAACAGTAGGCTTACATTTTTAGTAATAAATAATACCTCAGACTAAAGTTAGGATAACATAATTGACATTGCTGGATTCCTTTCAAGACCAGGAATATTTTGAATATAAACGTCATATATTTTGCACAAAAGATAAAATTTTTGCTCTTTCTAATCAAAATTCTTACATTAGATCTAAAATTTGTATGTCTAATGCAAATTCCATGATGTTTATATTTAAAATAATCACAATCTTATAAGAATTTCAGCAATGTAAATTATATTCTGGCCGGGTAATTTGTATGAATTTTATGAGCTAAAGCAAATATCTTCAGAAAATACAGTAAACAAATTATACTTCACCCACGTAAGTGATCAAATTTACCGCGTAATTAAAGCATTTCATTCTGGCAAGGCACCGCGTAAACAGAAGCCGCGTAAATGCAGACTCCACTGTATATGAAATTTTTTCTATTCTATTTTCGTCGTAAATATGAAGAAAATAATGGCGTGAATTGAATTGGGTCCTAAATTAATCAGGGTCTTAAATAAGAATCGTCGTTAGTAGAACAGTCATTATCAAAGGCTTTCCTGTACTACAACCTCCAGCAATTCCAAATGTCTTTTTTCAAATATATTTATTATTTGACGGGTTTACCATTGTGGATAGATTTGACAACACTGGTCTGATATCTCCCTGTGCTATTTATATATTAAAAACAATTAATCTTGTCATTTCTCTTTAACTATTCTTTTCTTTTAGTTGTCTTATTAGCCAAAAACTTCTAACTGTTGCAGATGATGCCATCATTAATCTCTCATATAACCCTGCTTTTGAACACTGTCTTTTTTATGGCCATGTTGGAAGTGTAAGATGTAATATTCTTGACGTTCATCAGTGTATATTTAAACTGTATTCATAATTCCAAGATATGAAGGTTAGTATAATTACTGATAATTATTACTTTTATTTCAGGGTCTGGTGAACTTAGGCAAATGTCAAGAAAAAATTCAAAAGAGGATTGCAGATGCAGAAGATAGACTGAAAACTCTTGAGAGTGAAATGGCAAAACCAAGTTATGATAAGGTACAAAACTTTACTCATCTTTAGCAGTTCCTGGGAAATGTACAAAAAGTATTTCTTGTGTTGGTCACCAAAAACTGCAAAGAACTCATGGTCTTGTTTTCAACAATTAGAGGTAAAATAAGGGGTTTGTACTGGGAAGTATTTACCCAACATTATAATATGGTTCATGAACTCTGCATGTAAAAGAAGGAGTAAATTAAGAGTGATAGAAGTGACATGCTTGAGAACAGCATGTGGGATGAATATAAGGAATACACAAACAAAGAGATGTGGGAGTGAAAGAAGTGTTGGGCTGAAAGTAAATCAGGGTTTGCTCAGGTGATACAGTAATACTGTATCTCCGTTAGCCGGAATCCCTCAAACCCGGAAATCTCTGATAGCCGGAATTTAAATTTGCTTAGAAAATTATTCCCAACTTGGAGTACTGCTCTCATATATAGGGTGGCTCGTCTTCTGTCCAACTATTAGATAGGGTGGAATCAAAGGCATTTCATCTTATTGACTTTAGTTGATAATCTTTCTTCTCTTTCTCTTCGCTGCAATGTTGCTTCACTGTCTCTCTTTTACAGGTACTGTACTTTAACAGATAGTGTTAGGTGGATCTGGCATCCTGTATACCGCTGGTAAGGCCGTGGGCTCGTAACACTCGTATTGCCCGCTGTGCCCACCATTTCTCTGTGGATGTCAGTCACATTATAGTACATCCTTCTTTCCTCTCACAACCAAACTGTGGAATGCTTTGCCTTCTTCTGTGTTTCCATACTCATGCAACCTGTCTTACTTCAAAAAGATGGTTTTCTGGCATCTTCATGGTGTAGCTTAATATATTCTTTTTCTTTTCTATTTTTAATTTCTTTTTACTCTTATTTTATTGCACCATAGGCCCCGTTGTGGGTCGATGACCTCTGCCCGGGTGGGCTTAGCAACCCTCATGGGTGGCAAGACCACTTGGGTAATGCTGTGAAGTTTCTGCCTGGGTCTGTTTATAATTACTGTACAGTGCTCCCCCCAAGTACGCGGATTTTAAACGCGCGGAACCCAACTACTCGCATCAATGCCATGCAATCCAAATTCCAAAGTACACAGGGGTCCCAAGTACACAGGCGTAAATTTCCGTGTGGCATGGCCAAGTGAGTGAGTGAGGGAGGATGAGAGGTAGTGAGCAGAAGAGCTGGCTGTTGATTGGCTGAGTGACCACTACCAACCAATAAGAGACAAGGATGTCACTTCCTGGCTGTGACATCACCAACGACGCAGAGGTCAGTCCCAGTCCTCCTTTCCTCAAGGCACTACTGGGGCTTGCTTTTTCCTGTATTTTTTAGGTGTTTTTGACTGCTGCAGCTACCATGGCTACCCCACCTACTGCTGTTGAGTCTCCAGCACCTGCCCAGCCAGGCAGAAGAGTGAAGTGGATGACCCTGGCACACAAGGAGATAAGAGACTGGTTGAACAATGACAAGACAGTGTTTATTCTTCTTATTTAAGGGCTTCCTTCTGTTATATTTTTCACTTTATATAGCTAAGTGCTTTGAAAGACCAGTTTTGGATTCATGGTGTGTATCTTGAAGGGTCCCAGAATCAATTTCATTTTCAATTTCAATTGTTTATTCTTTGATAGAGGAAGCAGGATCCTAGTGCTGCTACTAGGTACCCCTGTACAATAACGCCAGAAGCATCTGGCAAGTGTGACAAGTATATACAGTATAAATATTATAAAGGGGCTTACTAAAGCCTAAGGAAGGAAGGATATTCCTTTAACACATAATCAATGTTATTTACATAGTATCTGGCCAGTATGGGGAGGATCATCGTGTCTCCGTCAGGGGGTGGTGGTCCAGCAGGCGTCACGGAAGCGTTGTGTGTGGGGACATCTTAGTAGGTGGTGGATAAGGGTGCGGATGTCGGGTCTTCTGCATAATGCGCAAGAGCGTTGCTCAAGGGATGCGGGGATACCAATCTCCCAAGCAAAGTCATACCCAATGATGATACGGGCAGCAATCACGTCCCTTTTCCGCAACCCTTTCCCATAGACATACAAGAGGTCAGGAAGTTTACAGAGGACATCATACCAGGTGGGCGGGGAGTCCAGGGGGATGGTTGCTTCCCTAGCTTCTCTCTGTTTGCGGCGAATTTAGGTCCTAAGCTGTAAAAGTGTTCGAGGAACATCATAGTCAGGTGTGGCCTTGTTGCAGCCAGTCTTGGCAAGGCCATTTGCTGCCTCATTCCCCAAGATACCGACATGACTGGGTATCCATAGGAATGTCACAGGACGGCCTGCATCCTCAAGTGTGGATGTTAACCCTCGTATTCGGAGGATGAGGTCCTTATTTTCCCCTGATCCAAATGCGATCCCGTCGAGAGCAGACCTGGAATCGCAGCAGACAAGGAAGGGGCAAAAATCATCTGCTTCCTCAGCGAGAAGGGCAGCAAGGAGGGCTATTAGTTCAGCCTGAGTGGAGGATGCCCTGTCAGAAACTCTGAGAGACAGTTTGATAGGCTCAGGGGCATCAGGACGGGAGATGTAGACACCAGCCCCCTGCCCGACCGGTAGCGGGGTCAACAGAACCATTAGTGTAGAGGACGACCCTACCTGGGGACCAGTGGGCGATCCTGGAGAGGTGGTATTTGCAGAGAATAACAGGGTTCATGTGGGATTTTGGGAGCGGTTCACCAAGGGCAATCACTTCAGGTTGAAAATCCAGCCAGGGAGAAGGAGACGAACCAACAGCAGGGGTGACAACAATATCAGGCAGGAGGTCGTATTCCTGAAGGGCTCGGATGAGTGACCCTCGCCACTGTCTTCTAGATGGAGGTCGGCCTCGGACAGCAAGAGTCAAGTTGGCTTGGACATAGTTGCCCCGAGGATCCCGTAGAATGGAAACGGTAGTTTTTAGGTATAATTCCTGGACACGATCCTGTAAGGGGGAAAGACCAAGTTCGGTATATAGGGAAGTAGAGCGTGTCCACTGAAGAGCCCCAAGGATGATACGAGCAGCTTTCCTCTGGATAACTTCGAGACGGTTGACAGCAGTCCGACTAATGTTGACGAGGGCAAGAGCGGCATAGTCAACACAGGAACGGACAAAGGACTTGTACATGGTGAGAAGTACAGGGATGGTGGCACCAAGGGAACCCCTGCACATGGTAGAGAGAGGAGCAAGACCCCGAAAGCATATGTCTTGAAGATAGCTGACTTCAGGGATTTGACAACGTGTGCGAGTTACATACACACCCAGGTATTTTGTCTCATTAACCCAGTCCAAGGGCGTTCCTGATAAGAGAAGGGGTGGAGGTACAACACGACCGTGCCACATGGCTTTTGTTTTCGCAGTTGAAAGAAGGAAACCAAGTGAATCACACTCTGGACACCTGTATGCTGAGGTAGTCTGGGGCTTGGAGGAGGACATCGTCGGCATATCCTGAGTGGACAACTTCTGTCGGCCACGGGAGAGGTGCAATGGAGTGCATGAGAGTGCTAAACAAGGTGGGACTCAAGACTCCACCTTGAGGGGTGCCGAGGCTCATTTCATGATCAGGAGATATAGAGCCTTCAATGCGAACCCGGGCCTGACGTCCAGTGAGGTAAGAGGCGATCCATTGAAGAAGTCAACCTTTAACCCCTAGCCGCTCAAGTTCAGCTGAACTGAGGGCAGTATGAGCCGTATCAAAGGCTCCCTTGATATCAAGGAAGACGGAGACACTGGTAGTCTGGTTGCAATAAAAGGAAGCAATGGAGTGTGCTGTGCTGCAATGTTGTATGAAACCATTGAGGGAGTTGTGGAAGCCGCCTATGGTGTGAAGAAGGCGACGATGGAGTATCCTCTCCATCATCTTGCAAACACAGGAGGTAAGACTAATGTGTCGATATTTCCCAGGATCTCCCGGCTTATGGATGGGGATAATAGTGGCATTTTTCCAGTTAGACAGGAGAACCCCATGTTCATAAGACATATTGTAGAGAGCAAGCAAGGGGCTGTTAGGAATATTAGTACAGGCGTTGAGGACAGAGTAGGTTATCTGATCATCCCCAGGAGAGGTGTCTTTTTCTAGAGCGACGAGCACTGTCAAGCTCGAACTGTGTGATGGGATGATGAGTGGGGGCAGGGGAGGTAAGAGCAGCACGAACAACAGGCTCAGACGCATCGATGCGAGCCTGCACTGCCTCCTGTATTGGATCTGGAAGTGCCTCAGGGGAGGAAGCTCGTGCCCAGTCCTCCATTAAAGAGCAGGCAAGGGAGGTGGGGTCAGGGTGGGGAGGAGGCCTCCGTCGAGTACCCCGTATAGCATTAATCGGATTCCATACATAAGAGGGTGACAACTGGAACGATAGAGACCCCGTGAAAGATAGCCAGTCCGCCTCACGAATCCAACGATGCTCCTGAGTTGCAAAGGAGCACCAATTTTTTAAGTCTTCCCAGTCCTCTGGAGAGCGAGACCTCCGTATGGCAGAGTGGAGATCACGGGTTACCTGCCGGAGATGTCTCATGGCAGGGATACGATACCAGTAGTTGGTGGCACTTCTGGGGTGACGGGGAGGGCGTGGAGGGGTAGCGCGATTGACAGAGTCATACACGGCATCAACAAAATCAGCACTGTAAGAGTCAAGGGACTGGGGGACAAAATAGGAATCCGCCCAGGTAGAAAGGTATTGGGCAAAGGAAGGAACAGCATCTTGTGTGAGACGAAGGCGAGGGGATCGATAAGGAGCTGATGTCGAGGCAGAGAAGGAGAGCCTGAGATGGGTAGTAACCGCAAGATGGTCACTATACAGAGCAGGCTCGGTGCAGATGGTAGGATGAAAGGAGGTATGACCGTTCAATAGTAAGCCAACATCAAGGAAACTATGGGGGAGACGAGTAGGATTGTTAGGACAAAGAAAGCGAAAATCATCATCCCCATTAAGAAACTGTGAGAGATGTGATCCGTTTAGGGTACATGGCGTGGGATGATCCGGAGTAAGAGTGGGATGGCAGGCATTAAAGTTGCCAAAAACAATAGTG